GGCCCCCCCCGCAGGACGCGCCCCAGCCCCGCTCCCCCCTCTTCACCGCCACCTGTACCCTAGGTGTGAGCGTCTTGCTGGTCACGCTTCTCGCGACCCTAGAGCCAGTTTCCCCGAGGTCCAGATGGGGTCTGACTTGCCCGCGGCACACGGGGGCCCCGGGACACAGCGGGGTCGTGGGGACTCTGGTCTGATTCCTGCCGCTGTCCTTTCCTCAGGACACTGGGAGGATGGGGCTTTTAGCTTTGTTCTGTTCTTGGCCTTGAATCTGGAGTTCGACTCGAATGCCCAGCATTCGACCACTAACCAGTCTTCGCCCGTGGGCCGGCTGGGCCCAGAGGGCTGTGATGTGTGTGTGTGTCTGCAGTTTGGGGCTGGTTCCTCCTGGGTCCAGGCCGGAGGAGCATCTGCGTCTTTGCCTCTACTAGATACATGGGTCCAGTATGGCAGGGCTCCCGGTTACCTGCCACCAGTGGGCGCTTACTTTCCCACTTTAGGACCAGGGACACAGTCACCTGGGGTTGTGTAGTGACTTACTGGTGGCCTTACTGCTTATACTTCAGGTTTCAGCCCTGCACCCAAGTCAGTCCTTTCTTAGCTACATGGTGGCCTGGGCCACTCAGCTGGAAATGTCCACACGGAGCTCAGGACACCCCTTCCCGCAGCGCTATCCCAGGAATCCTCTTGCTGACTCAGGCCTCCTCACTGGTTCCCCGCTTCTTGTCCGCGACTCTCATTTCCTACTGCACACTGCATGCTGCCACTCTCAGGTGCGTGACTTTGCCCTCGGGCTGGAGGCGCTGGTGACAGAGGCTCTGGGAAGGAGGGGCTTTCTCTGGCTGTTTTCCAGAGTGGCCGCCCTGCACAGCCTGGACTCTGAAGTTCTGGATGGGGGTGAGGCCTTGGGCCAATAACTGGGCGGTGAAGTCTTTACTGTGAGAGTCTGTGCTCTTGGCTGCCGTCGTGCCCAAGAAGCGTTCTCCCCTGGATTATCTCGGAAGTCTGGCTTGGTGCCTGGGTGGTTGCCATTTGGCAGAAACTTGTCATCTGCACAGCTTCTGTAGCTGCTTTTGTTTTGTTGGTTTCTCTCTCAGCTGCCGTGTGGCACTGTTTGGGGGGCTTTGTGAGTAGAATGACTGCTGAGGAGACACTGCAAGGTGGTGGCAATCCTGTTTGACTTGACGAAGTGAGTCACGAAAGTTAAGTGACTTGACGAGGGTCGCACAGCCAGTCCGTGGCCAAGTTGGGATTTGGACTTCCTGATCTGTGATACTTGGTAAAAATACAGGACACCCCTGACTCTCCATTCCTGGAGACTCTCACTTAGAGGTGGGACCCCAGGAGTTGGTATTTTGAGCAGGTGTGCTGGGTGATTCTTACCTAAGGCCAGCGTGGGAAACGCTGCCTTATGGCGTTTGTAGATTTGCTGATCTTGGACGTGAGATTATGTTTACGGACTCTTGTTTCTTTTTGCTATTACTGGGCAATTTGCTAGTCCGCCCTCAGTCTGTCATTCAAAGGGCGCTGGGGGTCACTGGCTGTATGAATCATCCCCGGACACTGTTAGCCTGTAGTTTAGGGGTTTTCCAGACTAACATAATCAGGTCATTTGAAGACCATCTTTTAATCCGACCGGATCGCTCTTGGAAATTCTGTTCATTTTTTCCCCTCCTAGGGCTGGAGTTTTCAGAAAGTTCCGGGTGTGCTGTCCCGTGATGGAGACACGTTTGTAGTGAAAACATCGAGGCTTTTTCAAGGCGTGTTCCCCTAGCACCCGCTCCCCCCACTGCACGCCTCTCCCCTTTACTGTTTGTTGGTGTGTGGGGAAGACTTGCATGTATGCAAACAGGTTTGTCGTGATTTAGCTGGGGCTTGGCAGTGGGGGCGCCTGGGGCTTGGGATGGGCCCGGGAGGAGAGGAGAGACTTCACAAAGAGCTTCCAGCAGGCACCCCGGGTCAGGTATGCCTGGACGGGTGAGGACGTGCGGTCCGCTGCCCATCCTTGTGCCCCCTCCCTGAGCCGAGGGGTCGTGATGGAGGCAAAGCGCAGGTCACTGCTCCCTTATTGCCCCTGCCCAGTAAGCGGTGAGTTCTGACTGACTTTCTTTGTAGTCAGAGGATGTGTGTGTGGGCTTGGAGTGGTTTCAGCGGACTGTTTGGCGGCCCGGCCCAGGCCTGCCCTGGTGTTCTGGGAGGCTGCAGAGGAAGGGCCCTACCAGCATGGCCTGGCGCATTCTCCAGGCGTCAGGCAGGCCGGCGTGCTCGCAGGACTCTCCTGCTTCGCCCTCTCCCCTGTCAGTTGAGGAAAGAGGCTTAGAAATGTCTGGCCATCTTTGCGGAGCTGGCGCATTCTTGTCGTTTTATCAGCTACGGCGCTTCCGGGTGCTGTTAATACATGAGCACTTTGGGACGCCACGTTCCTTTGATGAGTTGACCTCGTTTATCAGGAAGTGATCCTTTCAGGCCCTGCTAATATTCTTTACTCTGAAGTCTGTTTATTTTGTTAATATCACCAGTTCAGCTCTTAAAAAAACTAGCGTGTTGTGGGTTGATAGCCAGACTGTGTAAGCAGTTTCTACCACTCAGTGATAAACAAGCAGGCAATCTGATTAAAACAGGCGAAGAGATCAAATGAACATTTCTCTGAAGCAGATGTACAAATGGCCCGTGAGCACAGGGAGTTACTCAGCGTCACTAGTCATCAAGGAAGGGAGATTCAAGGACAATGAGAGACCATTTCACAACTCTTGAGGGTGGCTTTCATCAGCAAAACCTGCAGTGTGGACAAGGATGTGGAGAAATCAGAACCCATATTATTATCCGTAGGAATGTAAGATGGTAGCTGCAGTGAAAACGGCATGGCAGCCCCTCCAGGAAAATGAGACGTGAAGTTGCCGTATGACCCAGCAGTCCCCACTCTGTGTGTTTGTCCTAAAGAAGTCAACTGAGGCTCAAATGTCCACCTATGGCCACGGCAGCATATTCACAATAGCCAGAAGGTGGACGCAAATCAAATGCCCACCGGCAGGTGAATGGGTAACCAAAGCATGGTCGCTACACACAGTGGAATAGTACTCAGCCTTCAAAAAGGGTATTCGGACATGCTACAACATGGGTGACACTGGAAGAAAATTTGCTGAGCAAAACAAGCCAGTCACAAAACACTATGAATTCATAGAGACAGACAGCAGGAGGCAGGGGGCTTCTTTTCCCTGCCAGAGTCCTGGGCCAGAGGAGAGGCTTCTCCAAGGAACTGGCTTGTGCTTCGCTATCAGGAAGTTTCAAGTTTCAATAACCGTTTCTTGGCCGTCACACTGATTGGAGCTGAAGGCCTCCACTCGAGTTCTGTTCAGCCGTGGAAATGTGTTGCTGGATTGGCCGACGCCTTCTCTGGCAGAGTCTTCCGTTCTCTATTCCACACCCACGTGGGAGGCGCTTGGGTGGCAGGTGGAGATGGGTGAGTGGGCTCAGGATGGTGGTGCGGGCCAGGGTGGGTGGAGGCCGGCCTGAGAGCCACACGAGTGCTGTCGGGGTGTCCACGCCTTGTGTTCTTACAACAGCAGTACAGAAGAAACCGAGGCCTGGAGGGCTGAGTGACCGGCCCCAGCTCCCAGCCAGAGGGTGAGCAGAGCAGGGCGGCCTGCTGTCTAGACCTTAGCTGAGTCCTCAGGCTTCCGCCGCCGGGCTGAGGTCAGAAGCAGGCGCTGCTCCAGGTGCCTTGGGGTGCGTGTGGGGTGGGCACCTAGGCTCGCACCCCAGCTCAGGAGAGTAGGTGCCACTGTCGTGTTTGCGGAGGGCCGTGGCCTGCCGGCTCCCGCACACCAGCAGCCCTGCTCTTTGCACGTCTGGCTGAAGCTGGCAGTCGTGACAGAGTCGCCAGGTTTCTAGCAGAACTGGCCTCTGTTTCATGGACGTGCCAGGCTGTGCGGGGCATCGGTGGAGAGCCTGGCCCTGAGCTGCAGCTCCAGTTCCAGGGCCCGCCCACCACATCATCTAGTTGTAAGACGGTGGGCACAGGTTCGCGGTGGGTACAGGCTCTTCCACACAGTGGCCCCGTCCGAGAAGTGGGGAGACCTGAGGCTCCGTGGCCTCGTGGGCTTGCGAGCTGCAGTGGGGCGCACTTGGGACACGCCTGTCATAGGAGGTGATGCATGCTGGCTGGTGACCGTCTCGGGACATTGAGGCTCAGGGTTGCAGTCACCCCCGCCCCTGTCAGTGTCCGGCTCTACTGCTGCTGGCCTGCCGGTTCTGGGACGCTCCCCCACTCCGTCCAGCCCTCCTGGTGCAGGGGTACCAGGCCGCCTGTTTCTGCCCTCTGCTGAGGCTGCACAGCCCAGAGGGCGTGCAGAGCGGTCTGGGCAGGGGCTGTGGGGTCAGCAGAACTGAGAGGCTAGGGCACCGGTTTCCGGACTTCTCCGAAAGGTGCCCAGGGACCCCTTGAGACCTAGGGGTGACTGAGCCAGTGCCTGACCTCTGCGACCTGTCCTGTGCATGGCAGGTTTTAGGGGAGTGCTTTGCTTGGAAAATAAAACCCCCAAACAAAGATATTCTCCTTTAAAAAAAAAAGTCGAAAAAGTTCAGAGAACCTGCAGGAGAGGTACCCCTGGCTCAGAGGAATGGGGCGCTGCTGAGCAGCTGGACTGCTGTGGGGGGCCTTCCCTGCTGAGCCTGGAAAGCGGCTCCTGGGTCCGACCTCTGAATTGAGGCCTCACCCCAGCAGGGGTGTGGTCATGCCTCACCTATTACCTGTGAACTCAGGTGTCCTGCCTCTCCAGCCTGAGCAGCCACAGCCGACGCAGGGGCTCGAGAGGGCCTCGAGTGCCCCGACAGGAGCAGCCGCCTTGCGGGCGCTGGACCCCCCTCTGGGTGGCCACCTCCCCACTGCCCCCTCCACTGGTCACCGCTCCCGTTATTTATATTTCCTTAACATTTTAAAAGCAGCCTGAGCTCCAGGAGTTTCGGCATTGGTTTTCCGTGGAAAGGCCACACCTGGCACGCCGTGAGGACTGGGCGCTTCTGTCGCTCCGTTTCCTGCACCTGCCTCCCTAGAGTTGGGGCCTTGCGCCCGCTCAGCGAGTGAGATGCTCAGCAGCGGGGGTCCTGTGAAGGCGTGGGGACGTGAAGGAAGCTGCAACAGGGTGAAGCCCTGTTCTCACGGCCCCGTGTGCTGTGACTCACCTTCCTCGGGTTGCCTGACGTGGTCACCCCTCCTGGCCCACCCTTTGTGTTATTGTGGGTTTCCTGTGCCTGTCCAGGGCCCGGGAATTAAAGGCCCTCCCTGGTGGCACAGGGGTTAAGTCTCAGTGCTGTCAAGCTGTCCACAGCCACTGTGGCCTGAGTGACTCCCGGCCAGGGAGTGACCCACACACATGGCGCAGCAGACCTCCCCTGTCTCCCCCTGCTCCCCTCAGCATGTATTTTGGTCAGTCTGCCTGTTCCACTCCTCACTCTGTCTCTGGTGAATCCTTTCACCCCCCCACCCCCGCTTGTACCTGTGGCCTGCACCCCAGCTCTTGTATGCATAAATAAATAAAATAAATAGTAACAAAGCAAGGTGACAAGTCATTCTCCCGCCTCCAAGGGGCTTCTCTTCTCACCCCAAGTCTTCTCACTTCCCCAGACAGGGACAGGGTCAAGGCCAGGGCCAGGTCCTCCCCAAGTAGCTCCCAGTAACGCCCCCGCACCCCCTTGCCCACAGTTCGCCACACAGTGACTTCCTGTTAGTTGCGGCTGCTCTGAGCCCTGCTCTTCGGTGCAGGGAGGCAGAACACTGCAGGGTCCGGCGCCAGGCTTCAGGGCACCTCCTCTGTGAGCCTTGGGCTGCATACTGCCCTGTCCCCCAGCCTCTTCCAAAGGACGGGTCCAGAGACGTGCTCCCTGGCCTCAGTCTCCCTGGGCAGCTCTGAGCATCTGCCGTGTGCCCTGGGACTGCTTGAAGAAACTCAGGGGTATCCGGGGTGCACCTGCTGTCTGGGCTGAGCGCGTGGGCAGATGAGGGTGTGAGTCGCCTCTCGGGCCTGAGGGACGGCGCCTGTGTGAGCCCCGGGCCTCTGTGGCTTTCTCACTAGACCCTCAGTGCTCTCTGGGACTGGAGGAGCAGGGGCAGAGGTGCCGGGGGGTGGGGGGCGGTGGGACTTGAGCCTCTCGGCCGGCCGCCATGGCCGACAGGACTGCTCTGTGCCGGCTCAGGACCACGTCAGCCCTGCAGTCACCAGCGTTGTGCGGCTGGACCAGTCCTTTCGCTTCTTGCTGTGATTGCAAGATGCCCTTCAGCAGTCAGCGCCAGGAAGCGTTGAGAAAGTGGAGAGGGCTTCTTACTTTTTATTATTGTAACACACCTGAACCGCAGCGAGGTTGGAGAGGGGTGTGCATGGGCCTGGGTCAAGGGCGGGCCTCAGGTTTCAGAGGGCTCGCTCTGTATGGGTGAGTCTAAAACATTGGAGCAGGAATTTAAAACAGGAAGAAAGAGACAGACAAGGGAAAAAGCCACAAGTCCCCCAATGACTAGCTCACCCAGGGTTGGCCAACAGGCACCTGGAGGGAGGTGGGTGGCAGCCTGGCTCTGTGGTAGTGGGCTTGGCTCGGCGTTTGTGCGCTGGCCCTCTGGACACGGACACCTGGGCCTGGAAGCTTAGGGTGGCCCTTGCTCGCAGATGCAGGGCCGCCTGCCGGGCTCATCCGTTTCTTTCTGGGCTTCATTTCGGCTCTGCGATGGGTCTGTGAGGCATTTAAGATGCGCGAGCGCGGCCTCTTGGGAGGCCTGCACCGGAGGGCACGGGAGAAGCCTGCACAAACGCGGGCAGAGCAACCCCTCTCTGACTCTCGGCGGGCGTCTCCCCAGTCAGGGAGTGGGAGGGCCACCCCGCGTGGGCTGGAGCAAGTGCTCCCGGCTTGCGTCTAGAAGGCTTTTGTGGGAGGGGCCTTTGAGGGAGGCGGGGCCTCTGCACCTGAGCAGCCTGCTGGGGACTGGCGCCTACTCCTGCAGAGTGGAGGCTGCTCCCCAGCTGGGGCTGGAGGGCTCTTCATGGGAGCTGTGCGCGTCTCCCACTGCCAGCTTCGGCGGAGGCGCCGATTGAGGCAGCGTGGCGGCGTGAGGCTGGGACCTGCAGGTGCATGTTGTGGGAGCCGAGGCCATTACACAGGCGGGTGTGGGGCTTCAGGCTCCAGAGAAGGGGATGGCCGGAGGGGAAGGACGCCAAGGAGGCCGCACTGGCCAGCACGCCCTGGGTGGCCCCGGGGGCGCACTCCCTCACCTGTTGGTCACCTGGATGCTGCTGCCGCCTCAGCGGTCCCCGTCCCTCGGGTCCCCGTCCCTCGTGAAGCCGGGCAGCAGCCTCACACCGGTTTTAGCAACACCAGGCCCTGCTTTGTGTGAACTGGGACTTTGAGGCCTGTGGCGGGGCTCGACAGCTTTGCTCTCACAAACTGTCAAGTGCCACATTTCCTGCGGCCTCCTTGCAAGGCCAAGGATCGCCCCCCCCCCCGCCCCAGCTCCACAGAGGCTCAGGGACATCCTCCTGTCGCCCCACTGGGGAACCCTCGCAATGTTGTGAAATACTAGAATGTTTTACAAAGGTTTTGTTCTGGCGATTTTCCCGTAATCAAAACAAAACCCTTTCTTGGAGGAAAACCCCGCAGTGTTCCTGCCTGTGTGGCTCCTGCCTGTGTGTCTGTGTCTCCTGTGAGATAAACGCTGGCTGGGTCCTCGGACCCCTGGACTCCGCCTTGGCCGCCCTGTGGGGTCGCTGGCCTGGCCTTGCAGCTGTGGTCTCTTCATGCGACTGCCACGGCATGGGCCTCCCTGGCTTGTTGAATAACATGGCCCCCGCTGGGCCCGCCCGCAGGTCCCCGACGCTCCAGTGCTGCCCGCCCTGGCGACGCCCCAGCCACTGGGCTGCATCGCCAGCGCTGGAACCCCGGAGTGAGGGACCCATCTCGTGCCCTCGAGCCAGCCTGACGTGATTCTGAGACTCCCTCCCCCCTCTGCCCCCGAGCCTCCCTGCGAGGTTGGGCAGGGTGACACTTGGGGTGCTCACCTGGAAGGAGGTTTGAGGGCGAGCGCCCCCTGCGCTGCCTGTCCCAGGCACTGCTGTCTTACAGATGGAGAAGTTGAGGCAGCGAGAGGTTACGTAGCTGCTAAGCGGGAGAGCCAGGGTCTGAACCCAGGCGGTCTGGCCCCGGGGTCCCATCTGCCTAAGTTCCAGGCCTGTGGCCCTCACTGCATGTTGTGGGGTCCCCAGGGGTGGCGCTGAGCCCTTTGCAGGCCATCCAGGAGGTCAGAATGACGTCCATAATTCAGACACTGTCTCCTTTCTCGCTGTCTCCAGGGAGCACACAGTGGAATTTTCGGCTGGGTGCAGGCACGCGATGATGTCATTGCTCTGTGGCTAATGGAATTGGGTGCTTGGCATGTTACTTGAAAGTTCCGTTGCTTAATTTCTGGGGCAGTAAATATTGATCACTGAAATGCACATCAGTAAAAACGCTGGGGTCTGGGGCCAAAGGGGCCCTGAAACCAAAATAGTTTGTGAGGGGTGCTCGGGCCTGCGCCTCCCCTCCCCAGTGCGCCTCCCCTCCCAGTAGCTCAGAGCCTACCGCCCAGGGTGTGTACCGGGGGAGGATGGGGCCGCCCTGGGGGCCTGCTCAATCCTCCTGGTTATGGTGATGGTGCTGTGGTTGGCCAGCTGCTGACCGCAGGCCATCTCCACTGCCCTGCCCCATCCCTGGGGCGGTAGGGCTGGGCCCCAGCCTCGGTGCTGAGGCTTAGTCATACCTGGGCCATCTCCGGGTGTACAGATGGTTTGAGCCAGGCCAGCCACCCCCGCCTTATCTGGTTCATCCTGCACCAGCCCCTTTCACAGTTGCCATCTGCCCTTGAGCCCAGGGAGGTGACCAGGCTGGCAAGGGGCAAGCCCTGGACTCAGGCTACGTCTGGGGACCCAGCCCAGGCCGCTGCCTTGTGTCTTAGAATGTCACTTCCCGGCCTGCTCACGGCCGCTGGCTGGTGGCCGGCAGCACCCCCTCCGCGGGTCCCTGGCCCAGTACCTGTATCGCGGGTGTCGGACCAGCGGGTGAGCTGTGGACAGTGGGTCCTGGGTGGCTTGATGGCTCCCCACCCTGCAGGCTGAGGGGACACGCGCAGGCCCTGAGGCCCCTGTTGCCCACAGGAGTAGTGAGGAGCTGTTTCCTTTCTTGCCCTGGCAAGCGCATTTTCAGTGGGCTCACTCCGGGGTTGGGGGAGCTGGGTGTCCCTTGCCTTAGAGGCTGGGGCTGTGCTCAGCCTCTGCTGACAACAGTGGGGACCCCAGGCAGACAGAGCTTATCACTTGGCTGACCACACCGTTTGTTGGCTCGTCTGGACATTGGCCCTGAAAAGGGGCGCCCTCCCTTACCAGCCCCCTGGGACAGGGTGGGCGGCCCGGACTTCCCTGGCAGAGGGAGCCGGTGGGCATCTGTGGCAGTTCCTCTTCTTGCCCGCCTGATGGGCCCACGGGATGCATGGCCCTTCCTGTTACAGAAGGGAACACTGAGGCCCAGAGCAGGTTCCTCAGGGCCACACAGTGTCTTTATTCCCAAAGTGCTTCCCTGGCTGGGTGGTGGGCGCAGCTCCCCATGGCCCAGGGCCCGTGGGGGCCTTCAGATTTCTGTAGTGCTGGACTCTTGAAAATGAATGTAACCGTCATGAGCAAAAGCTACATGCATTCAGGCCCCAGATTGCACTTCCAGAAAATAAAGTAACAGAAGATCCCATCAGCAGAGAGGAAGTGAGCACAGGTGGGCTCGTGCTTCCTCTTCTTGGGGAGGCCCCTCCGGCCCAGCACCGCTGTCCCCGGGCAGTGACAGGCTGGGGACGGCGAGACACGCTCCGTGGCTGGGTCGGTCAGCCCTGCTTCCCCCAGGCTGCCCGCAGGCGATGGTGGGGTTTTGGTCTTGTTCCGCTCCAGCGAAGACTCACGGGACAGCCCAGTGGGTCTCTGAGGCGTGGGAAGGGGGCAGCCGCTGCCGCGGGCGCCGGCCGGAGCCCGAGGTACCGGGCACTGCCGCTGGGCTGTGCCGCTGGTGTTCCCGAGGCCCGGGGCTTGCCGATCAGTGTGATTTCAGGCCGACGGCGCCCTGCGGTGGCCGAGAGCACTGAGGCGCCTCGCCTGCCGTCAGCGTCCGCTCCCACTCCCCCCCCGCCCAGCTTCCCTCTGCAGTGGGAGCGGCAGGCCTGCTCCCTGTGGAAGGAGGGCTCCCTGGGGAGAGGGGATGGAGGGGCGGCCGGAGCCTTCTTCCCGCCAGCCTCCCCTGCAGAGGAGCTGACCTGACTCTGGCTTGTCTTCCTCAGGCCCTGTTTCTGGGCTCAGGGGTCCCCCCCCCCCACCTCACTGCAGTGTCTTTTTCTGTTCACAGGGGAAGATGGAGACCCTGAAAGACAAGACCGTGGCGGAGCTGGAGGAGATGCAGAATGACCCGGAGACCATTGACCGCCTGGCCCAGGAGGCCCCTGAGGTAAAGGGCTGCGGGCTTGCTCCTAAGCGCGGCTGGCCGGCTGTGAGGAGGGCAGAGGTGCGGGGAACTGCGCAAGGCAGGTCTGTCCTCGCCCTCTGCTCCCTCGGCGGGCGGCAGCCGGCAAGGCCTCACGTGGGGGCCGTCAGCTGACCGTCGAGCAGCTGACCAGGCCTGTGAGGAATGCGCAGTGGGGGCGTGTAAGCAGGGCCCCTCGCGGGCAGAGGCAGCGTGGCTGTTTCGGCTCGGCGGGGCCTCGCTGCGCGGCGGGAACAGCACTCCTGGGGTGAAGAGGAAACTCAGGGGAACGAGCCCCTCAGCTTGCCAGTACCCACCAGGGCTGTGCGGGGCACCACACCCTGCATGTGGTGGCGAGGAGGGCAGGGTGCCCGTAGTTGGTGTGTGCACCTTGTTTGGAGAGTGGTTGGGGCTTCCTTGCCATCTGGAAGATTGAGGGGTAAGATCAAGCTCTTTGGGGTGGGGTGCTTGAACTGTCTTAGTGACCCCCATAAATGCTGGATGGGGGTCTCCCCAGTGGAGAAAGATTTGGGGAGGTTGAGGGGAAAGGAGCCAGAAATGAGTAAGACGGCTTCGTGGGGGGAAATGATACAAAGTTGGCTAAGACTTGGGGAAAGCAGTGGGTATGTAAGGAGGCACAGCCGTGGGGGCCCAGGGAGCCACGGGGCCGCTGAGCAGAGGGCTTCAGGGCCCCCACTGCGTCAGCACACGGGAAAGAAAGCCCTCCTAGCTGATGAAAACGTGAGGCAGACGCCCCAGCGCTGCCGTCCCCGAGTCCGCGTTTGTGGGCACTCCTGGCCCCATCAGACTGCTCTCCTGGGCGCTTGCGATCTGCAGCAGTGCAGCTCTGGGCCTGGAGACCCAAGAACCTGGCCCTGGGATCCCGGGGCCCCAGCGATTGTCTGTGTCTGGAAGCCTGGTGCCTCCCTCCAGCTTGAGCAGGAAGAGCAGCCTGGGCCTGCACGGGCCCCAGCATGGGCCTCGGCCCCTGGGTGGGGTCAGCAGGTGTGCAGCCTGCCCCACGGAACGCCCTCTGTGTCCGGTGGTGGACAAGCCACGCGTCATGGCTCCTGGGCAAGCTGGGCCGAGCCCCGGGGCCTGAGTCCTCTTCTGGGCCACGTGTGTGGTCAGAGATGGCCTGGTGTGTGGTGTTGTCCTCACTGCTTCGGGGTGGTGAGCTCCTGCCCTAGAGGGTCTTGCCGGGCAAGTGCATGGGGCTTTGGGGCTTCCATGCGGGCGTGGGCCTGTGGTTGGCACCTGACTGCGGCCTCAGCCCCAGCTGGGGGGGCAGGCTGCTGCTCATGCTGGCGATGTGCCTTCCGAGGGTTGTCTGGCCACAAAGGTTTTCCCTGGGGCCTCGGGTGGCCTGGTGCCGGTGGGAGTCCTCCGCTGGCCGTGGGGCCCCCGCTGGCCCTGGAGGCCCCCCGCTGCCTTATTACCCTGCAGTACTCACGTGTGGCTGAGGAGCCTGGGACAGGTCTCCCTGAACTGCTGTTAGTGGCTCTCTCACTCAGTGTTTTGGGGTCACATCTGCCCATCCTGTGGTCTGGCTTAGGCTGCTGCAGTTCACCTCAGAGTAGGCCCCTTGACCCTGAATCTTGGGGGTAAGTGGTTGGGACTTCCGGTTGCTTCTGCCTGGAAGCCTCTGCCCATCTGGTAAAAGTGGGCCCCCCCTCCCGGAGCTCTGCCATCCCATGGGGGGCCTGGCCCTGGGGGCCGGCGTGCCGCCTGTGCCCACCCCGTCACCACCGGACAGAGGATTCGGGAAGGTGCCTGTGTCTGCAGGTCCTGCCCAGGGCTAGAACTGCTCTGGTGTGGGGGTGTCTGGGGAGCATGGTGACCCAGAGGCCGCGAGATGAGTGGTGGCAGTGGTGTTTGTTACGGTCCAGCGTCCTGCTCTTTCAGGTCCAGGACCTGCAGCTGGAGCGCGAGATGGCACTGGCCACCAACCGCAGCCTGGCCGAGCAGAACCTGGAGTTCCAGGGCCCCCTGGAGATCAGCCGCTCGAATCTCTCAGATAAATACCAGGAGCTCCGGAAGCTCGTGGAACGGTGCCAGGAGCAGAAGGCCAAGCTGGGTAGGCGGCCGGACCCCGGCATGTGTCCTGGGGTCTCCTCAGGGTCTCTGTCAAGGTTGGACGGGGAGAGGGGCGGAGAGCACGGAAGTCGGTGCTCTCTCCCTTCCCAGACGGGACAGGGCCAGTGTCCCTGCCGGTCGCCCGCCGCCCGCCGCCCCGTCCGGTGCCTCGCACACGCTGTACAGCAGCGAGGGGCTGGGAAGCGCGAGGCCCAAGGCGCTGGGAAGCCGCAGCCGGCTGAGCCAGAGAGCCTGCATCTGCTGGGCTCGCCAGTGCGGCCGAAGGTGGGGCTGGCCAGGTCACCTCCATGGAGAGAGCCGATTGAGGGGTGGTTTTCAAAGCCGAGTCCTCTCGCTTCCCAGGCTGCTGCAGGGCCGCTGGTTAGCCAGTGGCTGGGCCGGGCTGAGATGCCCGCTGCTCCAGCAGGACACCTGTGGGGACTGGACAGAAAGGGGCCCCTGCAGACCCTGGGGTGGTGACGGGCCTCAGTGCACGCACGACACGAGCCTTGCTGGACCTCAGCCGCCAGCCCTGAGTCCAGAGGCGCTTTTGAGATGTCGACCTTCTTGCCTTCTCTTCCAGAGAAATTTTCTTCAGCAATGCAGCCAGGGACTTTGTTGGACCTTCTGCAAATCGAAGGCATGAAGATCGAAGAAGAGTCAGAGGTGAGAGAGCCGCGACACCCCCTCTTCCTGAGCAGGCGCCCCGGAGGGTGCGGGCGTCTGCAGAGCTTCCATAGACCCGCAGCTGAGCGAGCCCTTTCCCATCACCTAACGAGCTGGGTGTAGAAATGGGCGTGGATGGGGAGGCCGCAGCAGCTGCCAGGCCCAGGAGGGGGCGCCGTGGCTGCAGCCCAGGGATGGAGTGGCCCCCCCCCCAGCCCCTCTCCTCCCTAGGCCTTGTCGTCCCAGCCCCAGGCCTGACCGAGTGGCCAGTGTTGTCTAGGTCCTCAGCACAGCTGTGCAGTGCCCACGGAGGGCCTGGGGCCAGGTCAGGGTGCGGGCAGCAGGGGCCAGGCCAAGACAGCGCCAGCCGCCAGGGGCTGACTGGTGAGGGAGATGGCAAACCCGGGGCGCATTCTAGTCTGTCTGCAGGGATAAGGGCTGGGGAGGCCATCCCCGGTCCCCAGACACGGCGGGGAGCAGCTGTGCCCACCGCCCTGTTGTCACGGCCTTTGCCTTCCAGGCCATGGCTGAGAAGTTCCTGGAGGGCGAGGTGCCCTTGGAGACATTCCTGGAGACCTTTTCCTCCATGAGGATGCTGTCCCACCTGCGCCGCGTCCGCGTGGAGAAGCTCCAGGAGGTGATGCGGAGACCCAGAGTGTCCCAGGAGC